CCAGAGAAATTCTCTCCAGAGAAAATTGAACTTCTCTCCAGAGAAATTCTCTGGATTCAAACTAGAGAAAATTGAAATTTCTCTGAGTACCAAAGAAATCTAGAGAAAATTTTGGAGAGAAAATTTGTGTAGCTATTTAGGAAAATTCTCTCACTGCACAAATTTCTCTGGCTCTTTTCTAATTTTTGCATGCCATTTATAGTGCAAAATGCCAAAACTCATCATCTCATCTTTTTAATCACTGACATTTATAAAATACATCAAACGTTTGATAGCAATGGCAAAATTTAACAAGTTCAATGACATCTTCATTGAAGTATCCAACTGCTATAACATAATTATGACAGTTCAAAACAACAAATCTATTGAATCCAATGCATCAAGATCCAAAATAACTATTGTCCTGTATAGTTTGAATACAAAAAAGTCTTCTACTTTGATTAATACTTCTGAAACACTGAATTATCAGTTAAAATCAGTCAAAATGAACCCAGAGAAATTTGAATTTTCTTTGGGTTGAACCCAGAGAAATTCTTGGGGCCTCTGCTCATGAGCTGTTGCATTTACTTAGCCTTCTCTCGCACAGCCAAGGACTGATTAGACTCAATCGCTCGAATCACCGCGATTAGATCCCTGGAGGATTCAGATCTAGCGGCCGGCTTGTCGATAAGATTAGGATCGGCGATGACGGAGCAATTGGGGCACTCCCACTGGACAGTATCGGCTAGGGTTTGAGGGGGAGTGGAGAGACAAGTGACGTGCCAAGGTGTGACGCATGTCTTGCAGGTGATGGTCTCGTCCTCCGCCAACTTCTTCTTGCAGATCATGCAAATGTCGTCTCCGTCGCAGGGGAGGCTGCTATAATGCGCCATTGGAGTGAAGTGCATTTTTACCTCAAACACAAAAATTCAACAACAAAAATTCAAAAATTCTCTGGAGATAGTTTCTTGAACTTTGCAACGAGTTCTGGAAATCCAAACAGAGTCATAGCACCTTTTTTGGCGATTTCTGCGAAGCATGATTCGGAGATTCTCGAAGATGCAGAAAAGACGTGGTCGCAGAGGATTCTCTCTCCGTAGAAGACCGTCTTCACGGCGATCTTCATGGCGTGGAGCCAGCTTTTGATCTTGACCTCGATCAACTCCCAATCCAGTTTCTGAAGTTATACGAGCTTGTGTTGCCCTTCAAGGGGCCTGCATATGGTTATGGTTGTGGTTGAAAGGTAGCAGCAGAGGAGAGTAGGAGAGACAAAGAGTCAAATTTCTCTAATATATGTTTAGGGACCTTACACATCAAAAAATAATTTTGTAGATCTCTTCCATTACTAAAAATGGGAGAGGCACCTTTGACTAATTTTCCCTATAAAAAATGCTTGCAAAAAATTTTAATTTTTTTCTTTAAATTTTAAACATCAACTAATTTGATTAAATTCAACACTTAAATTTTAATAGGTATCAAACAATTTTCAATTAAAAAGTGTAACATTCAATTTTTAATACTTAATTTTAATTTTTATATTTTAATTATAAATTTTAAAAATTACTAAAATAACGCAGCAGAATTCCGTAATTAAACTCACTCCAGTCCCTAATTACCGCGTCATTTCTCAAATAAAATCTTCATCCTAAAAATGCTCATAACATAACATGCAACAAACGGTGGGATTCTTCAATTTCAAGTCAGTGTTAGGAGAAGGGGAGACGACAGAACTCAATCGAACATTGACGAAGGATGAGGATGAGGATATGAACTCCAACCAAAGCCTAGTTTTCACAATCAATTGACAAATCGATACGAGGAGTAGAACCACCAAAGTATTAGTGGCCCATCCACCTCCACCTCCGCTTCCGCTTCCGCTTCCGCTTTCCCTCCAAAACTCCGGTGACAATCCTCCGCCCAGCATTATTCTCCAACGTCCTCGTCTTGTCCTCTTTACAAACAAAAGGTTTTACCAGACTCTACTACTAGCATCGTCGGAGCTCTTCTCTCACGCGAGGCGACGGTGCCAAATTGCCAAAACTCAACACATGATAACGCGATTAGGGGGTATTTGGGAATTTGCAATATTAGCAGGCAATTTTTTTTTTTGGGCAAATTACATATACACCCCTCGAGGTTTGGCTAAATTACAGATGCCCCCTGAGGTTTGAGAAATTACGAATTCCCCCCTGAATGCTATATTTGCATAAGAAATTAGGGGGTAATTTGTTATGAAATATAAACCTCAGGGGGTAAATTGTTATGAAAATACAAACCTCAGGGGGTGGGATGTAATTTCCGAAACCTCAGGGGGTATCTGTAATTTAACCAAACCTGGAGGGGTGTATATGTAATTTGCCCTTAACACATAATCATGGTCAACAATCAATTGGTTTTTAAATCGTGTACACCATAACATGATTCACCTTTTGCACACCCAATAATCACCCATTCATATTATTTTAATCATGCTGAAAGCACATTCTCATAAATAATATAATGACACTTGGAGCTATAGTTAAGTTAACTCAATTAATTTTATTATTATTTATAAATTTGTAAATAAAAGAGATGATAATAGTACCCTCCAAACAAATATAAACCGTTCGTTTGGAAACTAGGGTGGTTTTTTAATTTTTTGATTTTTTCGTTATTTTAGTTTAGGGTTAAAAAATCTTGTTTGAGAATATTTTTTTATTTTTTTTGATTTTTTGTGAGAAAAATATAATAATTATGAGTTAAATATGATATTTTTTCTTATTAAAGTAAAAAATTATTTTACTTTTTTTATAACTATTTTAACTTAAAAAAAAACCGTAAGATAGACTTTCCGAACAGAGGCAAAAAGTATAATATATAGTGAAAAAGGATATATACATTCTCATAAATATTATAATGACATTAGAAGCTATATTTAAGTTAACTCAATCAATTTTATTATTATTTAAAAAAAAAGAGAGAAGATAATAGGACAGTCTAAACAAATATAAAAAGTACAATCTATACTATATATTAAGTAAAAGAGATTTTTAACTCCAAGTCATGTGGGAGTTTCAATCTCTCAATCTAAATTTTTTAATTTTTTACTTTAAAAAAAAAACCCTTAACATTTATTAATTTCTCCCAACCCCAAAGTCTTACCCTCATAATAATACTTTAATGCATTAAGAACAAGCATAATTTTTTTTTTTAAAATCCAACGCATATGAATTCCTTGAAAAGTTCCAACACATATGATTATTATCCTTCATAATAATACTTTAATGCATCGTAAGAACAAGTATAAAAAAAAATTATTGAAAAGTCCAACACATATAATTATTATTAAAATATTAAACTTTAATATAATATAATAAAAAAAAGAAGACATTTAATTCATTGTTTGTGTCATTTGAGTTCTCAATATTTAAATTTTATCAATTTAATATTCAATATATAAAAAAATGTTCAGCCTCCTTTTGGGAAGTGGGTTGGCTTTTTGGCTTTTTTTACTATATGAGCCTGGGCTCAAAAGCTTAGTTTGGGAAGGGCTTTTGGCTTTTTGGCTTTTTTGATTTTTTTGTGAGAGAAGAGTGTAATGATTATGGGGTTGGATGAGATGTTTTGTCTGTTGTGGCTCATGAGCCTATTCTGTCTTTTATGGCTCATTGAGCCAAAAAAGCCCAATGAGCTCTTGCCAAACCAACCCTTTGTGATTTATCTTAAATTTTATCAAATAGTACTTTAGACACCTGTTTAAAATTGGGTTAATTTGAGTTAATTAAAAAAATTAAGAATAAAATTAAAAAAATTAAAATGTCGATAACACAAAACATCATACTTTAACATTAATATTTTAACACAGAAGAATTCGTGCCGAGTATATTTAACATTAATATTTAACATAATCATGGTCAACAATCATTTGGTTTTTAAATCGTGTACACCATAACATGATTTACCTTTTGCACACCCAATAATCACCCATTCATATTATTTAATCATGCTGAATGCACATTCTCATAAATAATATAATGACACTTGGAGCTATAGTTAAGTTAACTCAATTAATTTTATTATTATTTATAAATTTATAAATAAAAGAGATGATAATAGTACAGTCCAAGCAAATATAAACGGTTCGTTTGGGAGTTAGGTTGTTTTTTAATTTTTTAATTATTTTAGTTTAGGATTAAAAAATTTCGTTTGAGAATGATTTTTTTGATTTTGTAAATTTTTTATAAGAAAAATATAATAATTAAGAGTTAAATATGATATTTTACCTTATTAAAGTGAAAAATTATTTTACTTTTTTTATAACTATTTTAACTTTAAAAAAAACCGTAGGATAGACTTTCCGAACAGAGGCAAAAAGTATAATATAGTGGAAAAGGATATATACATTCTCATAAATATTATAATGACACTTGAAGCTATAGTTAAGTTAACTCAATCAATTTTATTATTATTATAAAAAAAAGAGAGAAGATAATAGGACAGTCCAAGCAAATATAAAAAGTATAAGGAAAATATTAGAGTTCTCAAATTTTCTATTAAATAAATGACTAAATGTCTCATATGGGTGTGAGATTTACAAAATTATGAACCCCACATTCATGTGAGACATTTAGTCATATGTGAGACATTTAGGGCTCGTTTGGTTTGATTTTCTGAAAAAATTTTGGGAAATTTTCTCTACAAATAAGTTTTCAAAAATAATCAAACCAAACAAATTTTTCTAAAAAAATTTCTCAAAACTTATAAACCAAACAAGTTTTCCAAACAAATCTCTCTCTCACACATTTCAAATCAATCACTTTTTCTAAAACTCTATCTCAAAATAATTTTCCAAAACATCTTTTAAAAAAAACCAAACCAAACATGTTTTCGTACTTTTTATCTCTAAAACACATCTCTCAAACATAAACCAAACATACCCTTAGTCATTTGTTTGGTAGAGAATTTAATGTGCCCTAGCATTACCCAAAGTATAATACAGTATAGTGGAAAAGGATGCTTTAACTGTATTTCTTTTGCTGATCTATTTGCTTTACTCTTCACTGTAGAGCTATTGTCGGTGACTACCGAAGCTTCACTGAACTCAAGCCTCTACTGAGAGAGAGAGAGAGAGAGAGAGGGCTTGAAGAAGACTACCCACAAAATCAAAATCAACAATGGACACAACAATCTCTCCTTCACAAATCCCTCTGCTTTTGTTTGCCAGAGTCTCAGGTCTCATTGTTGCAATTCTTGTCCTCATTTGGGCTCTTGCCTTCAAGACTAGTTTCCTCTCTCACTCTCAATCCCAAGAAGACACCATCTATGCTGTACCCTTCTTCTCTCTCCTTCTCTAAATGCATGCATTTGTATTTGAGCAAAATATTGTGGCATTATATGTTGTTTTTTATTTTCAACAGGTGCTTCATCCCTTGCTAATGGTGATTGGGTTCATACTCATCAGTGGAGAAGGTAGTGAAGCAGAGAATTTTTTTTTTCCTTCAAGAAATGGGTTGTTTTATTGGAACAAGAAAGTGTTTTTGAGAAATGGGTTTTGATTGTTTTTGTTGTTTTCTTTGTTTTTGTTTTTACAGCGATTTTGGTGCACAGATGGTTGCCAGGTTCAAGAAATTTGAAGAAATCAGTGCATTTGTGCCTGCAAGGAGTGGCTTTGGCTTGTGGGATTTTTGGGATCTGGACAAAGTTTCATGGAGAAGATGGGATTGTGGCTAATTTCTTCAGTATGCATTCATGGATGGGTTTGATTTGTGTCTCCTTGTTTGGGGCTCAGGTTGATTTGTTGTTCTTCACTCCAAAATCAAAATATTTCTAGTAAAATGCATTAATGCTGTTTGGTCAGGATTTGAGGAGTAATTTAGAAGAAAAAATGAAAAATTTGATGAAATATGAATAACTTATATTTCACTTGATTTCACGTATTTTTTTTCTATTTTTCTTTTCAAATCCCTCTCCAAATCCCCAACCAATTGTTTTTGGCCTGTGAGAAATCGAAATATGTTTCTGTTTTTGGCCTGTGAAAAATCAAAATATGCTTCTTTTTTCAGATGATGTACTACATACCCATTTGTCGGGGGAAAAAATCACAGAATCGGATACCCATTCTCAAATGGGTTTATCATTATTATTATTTATTTTTTTGTGGTCCTGCATTCATGTGAGAATGTGGAAAATTTTTCTATGCAGACACCTTGGTCCCATAATCCTAGTTGTTTTATTTTTTATGTATTTATATTGGAGGGCAGAAGGCCATCTCTCTAATTTCTTATAATCTTTTTTGTCTTAGTGAATATTTCTTATGTGTTGATTTTTTTTATGTGTTTTGTGTTTAACTGATATAGTTTGGTATTCCTAACACCATGATCACTTTTGAGTATTTAATTGGAAAGCGATACAAATGCCATTATTGCTTCAGGCTCCTCCACATGAGTTATCAATTGCCAAGCAACAAAAACATTATTGCTTGCATTTCGTATAATTTATAATATGCATTTTTCTTTTAACTCCCCAAGCTTGTTTGGTATTGTTTTCATTTTTTTTTTTGTTTTTTAATTCTATTTTTTGGAAAATATATGAAATTTGTTTGGTGAATTATTTCCAATTATTGTTTTCCAAAAAAAATAAAAGTTAAAAAACAATTGTTGCACAATAATGAAAGCATAATTTCCAAACTTTTCATTATTTTTGTCCATATCTGTATCTAATTTTGGATCCTTTTTTTGCTTACTTAGCTTATCCTAAAATTTAGAATTTGATGGGTCCAACCCCTTAGACATGCACCTGCACCTGCACCTGCACCTGTCAAAACTAATATAGAAAAGAGGGCGTTTGATGTTATATTTCTTCTCTGTTTTGGTGTAGTGGTTGATGGGGTTCTTGAGCTTCTGGCACAGAGGGGAGGCGAGGACAATAAGGCTTCGAATCTTGCCTTGGCACGTCTTCCTTGGTCTCTACACGTATGGTTTAGCAGTGGTGACCGCTGAAACGGGGCTGCTAGAGAAGTTGACATTCTTACAAACAAAGAGGAATGTGTTGAAGCATTCAACAGAGTCCATGGTTGTAAATGGTTTGGGACTTGGGTTGGCTTTGCTAAGTGGGATTGTAATATCAGCCGCAGTTTCACCAAAGCACCATACTCCAGATGCTGCTAAGATCATATACTCAAATAATAAAAAGTGTTTGTCTTCTTGATTCGTTGAATTCAATCTTTATAGTTTTCGAATGTATACATGCTTGCAAAAAGTGTTTTTGTTGTTGATAATCTACTTGTATGCTTGTTTTATGAGCAATTTGATGACAAAAATTGGTTTGAACTTTCTTGGGTCTCTTGATTAGTAGAATCTTTTAATGCTTTAGCTTGAAGTTGGTAGTTTAGAAGAATTAAAGAACTACAAGGAGGAGTTTGGATTTGATCATGTGGTGGACAAAATCGGAGAGAGGACTGTTGGCAAAAAGAAGCAGAACTCTTTGACCTAAATTTTTTTGTTCAAAATTAAATAATTAAGTATAATTATTTTTTATTTTTTAACTAAATTAATTTTTAATTTTTTTAAAAAAATTCTGAAAATCAAATCATAAATAGCTTAAGAATCTTTTGATGAGTCATTTCTTACGTTGGTAACTTATTTAATTATTTGTTAATTTTACGACATTTTTATCATCTGAGATCTGTTTGGTAATCATTTCGTTTTCAGTTTTCAATTTATATTTATAAAAATTTAAAAAATTGTCATAAAAACTTATTTGATAATTTTTTTGGTTTATAAATAATTGTCTCAATTTGTAAATTTGAGAAAAAAACGTAAATTCAAAAAATGAGTTTACGTTGGTTTTTAAACAAAAATTTAAAAATTTTACTAATAATTTTTTTTTTCAATTAATTTTTTTTCCAACTAATACTAACCAAGGAGGAATTGGTAATGTTACCTTAAACCTTAGGGAATGGATTGTAATTTCTAAAATGTGAGGGGTATCAATGTAATTTACCCAGTGAGGGCAAAATTGGTATTTAAAAAAATTAAATTGCTGAAGGGGGAATCTGTAATAAAACTTTGAATCTCAGGAGAGATATAATTTTCAAAAAGTGAGGGAAAAACTGTAATAAATACAAACCTCAAGGGGTGTCAGTATAATTTACCCTTAAATAATTAAGTATACAAATAAATAAACATGAATCTCAATTTTACATTAGAGCGTGATTAGAAATCACATTTTTCTTAAAAAGAATTATGGTTAATCACATTTTTTACTTGAGTGTAAATATAGTAGTTTAGACTAAAGGTTTGTGCGGTGTGGTTCAGACGGTTTGAGAATAAAATTATAAATTAAATGGTAGATTAGCAAATTATGATTTGAGCGGTTTTGGACGGATTGGAGAATATTCTAACCAATTATCAAGTCTTTATATAATATACAACACTAATTTGTATAATATTTTTCATATATATAATACAAACTAATTTCACGTAATATTTTTCATATATATATATATAACTACTAATTTGTAATAAATTTCACATCTTAAATTTCTCTCACATATTTCATTATAGGTTAAAAAATATATATGGATTAACTATAGTGGAGCGGAGCGGTTTTGAAGGCAGATTATAAATTTTAAAGTTTAAACTGTAGTCAGGGAATAGAGTGGTGCGGATTGATGTGAATCGATGCTATTTTAACAGATTGAGTGGTATTTTGCACAATCTTAGTTTAGATAGTGTTGTTTGGTGTTCTGCATTAAAAAATGTGAATAATAACTACATTTTTATGGAAAAAAATGATTTCTAATTATGCTTTTAATATAAAATAATAAAAAAAATTAGTGATAAATCCAATTTAGGGGGTGTTTAAGTCATTAGGTCTAGTGTAATTTTTTTTTATTGGTGAGAAGTCTACCATTTGTGAAACAGTTTGGTGAGAAGTCTACCATTTGTAAAATAGATGTGCTTTTATTTGTTTTGAAGGACATTTTGTTTAAATAGTTCAAAAAAAAGAACATTTTGTTTTTAATTTTATCCCTTAATTTATCTATTGACTTTTTTTGACTGTCTGTTCAAATATTTTCTATCTGTTCCAAAATTTTCATCTATCTGTTCAAATTAGTTTGTCTATCTGTTCAATTTTTTGTGTATAAAGTTTCTATTTGTCTAAATTTTATCTGTCTAATTTTTTATCTGTTTTTTTGTCTATTCAAATTTTTTATCCAAATTTTATTTGTATAAATTTTTATATCTATATAATTTTTATCTGTACACGAACCGATTGTGCGTGGTCACTTTTAGAGGTAAACAAAGAACCAATTTGAGAGAAAATGAACAAGAATAAGCAGATCCAAAACCCAAAAGCCATTAAATCCATCTGTTGAAATTCAATTCTCTCTCTCTCTCCATACATACAAATATTATTCAATTCAATATGGCTCTATCATCTAATCAACTTAGATCACCAAAAATCAAAAGATCATCAACATCATCATCATTATCATCACAAATCATTATCAAATTTACCACATATCTAGATCTACCACATATATAAATTTACCACAGATCTAAGTCATCAACAACATCATCATCATAGATCATCATCTAAACCTTACTTCACAGAGATTAAAATTATGGAAACCCTAAACCAGTGGACATTGTCAATGCAATAATAACATATTGACATTTCTTTTTGTTTAAATAGTTAAAATTATGAAAAGATATACACTTGAAGCAAAAACTACAAAGGCTCACCGCAAATTTCATAGTGACAAGATCTTCCAGATAGAAAATTAATTGGATCCAACCAAGCCTAAATTAAATTAAATTTAAAAAAAAAACATGAATTAGATTTCTAAAATTTAGCAAAAATAGAATGAAAGATTCAAGAGAGGACTTTAGACATATAAGAACTCCTCTAGCCTTGCTTGGAAATAATTAATGAAGAAGTGATCAACGATTCTTGGGCTTTTCCACAAACCCTAGTGTTACAGGTACTTGTTCTTCATTTTCGTCTTAGGAAAACATAGCTACCTAAGCTTAGGAAAACAGAGAATGTGAGAAAGTGACCAGGAAGTAGAGATCAACTCTCTCTCCCTCTTTTTAACATCACTTGAGGCTCTCAACAATTGACACCAAGCCACCACATTTCCGACACCAAGTTACGGTGAGGATCCAGCATGTTAATCATATTGTTTAATTTTGATGATGTCTAAAATATTATTTGAAAATTTGAATCTTTTAATGCACATATTTGGATTTTTTAATGCACATGTTCTATATTGTTTGACACAAAATTAAATTTGTTAAACTATAGATTGTATGTTATATTTGTTATACATATTATTTAAATGGAAATATTTTGAAAATATTACTATTCATGATTTTGAAAAGTTCGGCTGGTCATTATTCACCTTTTGACGAAATTAATATTGATTAGTTGTATTAATTTGACAAATTTGACATTGATGGGTTGTCTTCTTTTGACAAAATATATATGGAGTGATAGGATATATTTAGTTTAAAAGCTCTACAACATATACATTAATTTAAAGAGGATATATATTTTCAGATCTATCATAAATATTGTTTAAAGAGATTTTTCTGTGTATGCAAATATGTTATTAGAATATTATATATATATATATATATATATATATAATGCATTTAATACAAATAGCATACATCACGGGAGCAATTAGACTTTTACACAAACATTAATTGTATCATATATATTAGCATGTAGAAACATTATTAGTGGAAACATTGTCATAGCATGTGAAAAGTCATCGTTAACTTTTTGCTTTATTGTACAATTTTGACTAATACCTAAAGATGTTTAAATTTGCAAGAGTGCAAAATTTCTTCCACGTGATTCTCTTCCAAATTGATTCATTTAGCTAACGTCTTGAGGAGTGTCTGTCTTATTCAACGGGTATATTTTTGAGTATAAATAGAAGTGTTGTGTGTAACAACCCTGACCTATGATTAACGTTAATTCATGATTTCATGTGCCTAATAAGTCACTAAGATCAAATTTTGGATTTATTCCATATGTGTTGCATTATTTGTGTTTCTATCTGTTTATTGTAGGAATATCTGTTTGAGATTCTGCTATATTTTGCGAATTGAAGGGCTTATCGGCATCTGATTCTGAAATTGATTTGATTTATGTGTTATGTGGAATTTATAGAATTTTATGGTAGGTTTAATTGAAATTCGATTTGGAACGATTAAATTAGAATAATTAATGTCAATGTGATACCCTAAGTCAATCTTAATTAAGCCATTTTAATTAAGCCTATCTAAGACTATTTAGACCCCTTTATTTTACTTTACACCCTCATTCCCTACTCCTTGAGCTAAAAAATGTATGAGAGAAGGAGGGACCAAGAGTGAGAGAGAGTTGAGGTCAACAAGAATTATTGGAATTGGAAAGAATTAGCTTGGAATTAGTGTGCTCGTCATCTAGATCTTACTTGAAAGGTTGAGGTATGAATTCAACACTTAGATTATATAATTATGATGTTTAGAACATGAATTCATGAAGATTATGTTAAGTTAAGCAAGACTTGAGTTAAATAAGATGGAAGAAGGACCATAACATGCATGTATGTCTATTCCTTTACAAATTGAGCGTGATTTTCAAGAATTCCCTCATGCATGTCTTGAATTCACCTTGATTTTGGGGAATTATCAAGTTTTATGGCATTTGATCATGTTTTGAGAAGCTCAAGATCAAGAAAATTCATGCATGTTATGTTCATGAAACATTCATAAAGTTTAAGTTGAATTTTTGAACAATTGGCATGCTTTTGGGCCTTGATTTCACGAAATGATCTTCAAAGCAAGATGTTTTGTGAGTTTCTAAGTGTTTTCCAAAATTTTGGGCCAAGAGGATGAGTTTTGAAGTGTTTAGTTTGAGTTTGAAGCTTCGAGATCAAATCTAGAAATTCCAGAATTTGAATCTATGCTCGAGCGTAGGAGTTCACACTCGAGCGAAACACTCTGAATGTGTGCATTTCTGCTCAGGCGACATGATACCCACCTGAGCGTAAAATGCATGTATCCAGAAGTTCATATGTTTTGCAGCACGCTCGAGCGACAGAAGTTACGCTCGAGCAAGGGCCTAAGTCTCACGCTCGAGTGGAGGTCGAGCATCCATTGAGCGTAAAAAATAAGCAACCAGTACTTTTTCAAAGTTTACAGTCTGCTCAAGCTAAGGAAGTCATGCTCGAGCGAACCCTCACTTTTTGCATGTCCGCTCAAGCGAGGAAAGCCACGCTCGAGCGTGGACCCTGTTTTCAGCAAGTTTTGAAAAAAGTGTTTCAAAT